CTAAATACTATCCAAAGCTAAATACTACGGTATCAGTTGAAAATGAGAGTAAACTAACACCAAAACCAGTAATCGAGCCAGGACTCGAGCCAAGACTAGAGCCAGGAATCGACCCAGGACTAGAGCAAGGACTCGAGCCAGGAATAGAGCCAGAACTAGAGCCAGGACTCGAGCCAAGACCTTGAGCCTGAACTCGGGCCAGGACTCCTGCAGTTAGGACTTTCCTACTCTTTCTCTAAGCAAACAAATAAATAAATAATAGTTAATAAGCAAATAACCTAACCCTAACTTAACCCAACTCTAACCTAATCCTAACCCTAATCTAACAATGACCTTAAGTCTCTTCCATGACTATTGCCACAAAAATCCTCCTCTTAATGGTAGTGGGACTAGCAGGACGTGAAAATGGTGGGAAAGCGATAAAATGTCGAGTCCTGGCTTGGTATATAGTCATCCTCAGTCTTACTCGTGTTTCCACTGACAATGATGCAAAAAGTACAGCGCCGATTTTTGCACCTTCCCTTATACTAGCGGGTAGAATTCTGGTCCCAAGCGTATCCACTTATAGAGTGATTTTACTTGAATCGTGAAACAGATACTAACAAAAAGTGAGAGGTAAACAAAAGAAGACATTGGAATTAGTGCATGATAGTACGTAGTATTCTACTACCTATTTCACCGTTCAAGTAAAATCACTCTAATTTGTTTAGGGCACACTGTAACTGCTTTGACTCGGTTTAGAAGCTCGCAATATTCCGTTAACAAGTACAATAAATGTAAGTAGTGATAACGTCACTTGAAAAAACAAGATAACTACTTGACTTGGGCTTTGTTTAGCCTGCTTTGCTGGAGTTTTCTTTGGGTGCTCGAATGTATTCGGGGAGCTGGGGCAACTCAAAGGTAACGGGGATACCGTAAAATTCCGAAAATAAGCCCCTCCATGTATAAGCCCCTCCAAATATAAGCCCCCCAAACCGGTAACGCAAAAAACCGTCCGTTAAGTCGCCCCTCCAAATATAAGCCCCCCGGGGGCTTGTACTTCGAAAATTGCCCTCAAATACAAAGTAAAACAAAGCAAAAACGGTAAATTTACTTCAAACTATAAGACTAGCCCAATCGATTTTGAAACGCAAATTTCCTTCCGTAGATAAGCCCCTCTGAATACAAGCCCCTCCAAAAATAAGCCCCTCAAAAAGGGTCTTCGAAAAATATAAGCCCCGGGGCTTATTTTCGGAATTTCACGCTGTAATCAGGTGGTAATTTTCCCTGTTTGTTTCCCTTTTCCCCCTTTTCCCGTCCGCCAACGTTCGCGCTGTTTCCCCGAAAGAAGAACGCCTGATCGTAGATTAGGGCGGGGAGAGAGAACAGAATGGTCTTTTTCTCCCCCTTTCCCCTGCCTCCTTCTTTCGCCTTTATACCTACCGCAAGGGTTTTAATTAATTTCTATTTTTCCCAATCTTGGACATCAGAGATAAAGACGGTGGCACGACATTACGAACATAACCAAAGAAACTTTGAATTCGCAAATACGCCTTTATTTTCTCGACTAAGAAATGATACACGTCGGGTGTCTTATTGCCGCGCATGCATAAGAGCAGTGTATGAGTCCTTACTACACGGTGAAAACGGTCTAGACGCTGGCATAAGCACATATTTTTCCAATTTCTTTTCTACTTTCCAACTTAATCTTGGGCCCTTTCTTTTGTTCGCCAAGATACATCTTTCTTGTCTCAACTAAGACTCTTATGTCTGCGTTTGCTTGCCTCGCTGACATAAATGAGGCTTAAAGAAAAATCTAAACAGAAAGTCAGCAATTAAATCTACTAACACAGGAGATCATAATTTAACACTTTACTGCTAATCATAGCACTGCTACGTTAAAATGCAAATGTGCTGAGTAAGAATTTTGTTGAAACAGACATTGACGCAACCAGGCTTACATAATGTACTATCTATAGAACAACGATTTGATGTTTTTGAAAATGGCCTACTCTTACTATACTGGCATTTACCAAATCAGCGAGCTATCTCGTGGCGCGAGTATTTCCTTACGAATCTTGCTTACTGCAACGCCTTTACGAGTCACTTTTCTATCGCCATACTCTCCTGAACGATGTATGCCTCGTTCCCCCTGGCTTTTAAAGGAATGGGCTGTAAGATCAGTTTCAGTGGATAAAAGATCAATTTCATCTCTTCCAGAGCGCTTTCTTTCTTCTTCTTTGTGCGAGTCTGAAGTTTTCCGCTGGTTGTTCAAGTTGGAGATGAAACCATCATGTCCTGACACCACTATGCTTTTCTTCTTATGACATGACTCGGCAACCCCCTGTGACACATGCTCTATCGCAAAGCTTGACGACTTGGTCAGCTTTTCTCTAGAGAATCTGTAAATTCTTTTGAAAATATTTTTTTCGTCGTTGTTGTTATTAATAATGTCATCAAAGTAGTCAACACTCCGCGGGAAAAGACCCTACAGGAAAATAAACACGACAGTCATTCTACTGCGTAACCTGCTTTGAAAAGAATGCCAAAACACAAATCTGGAATGGGGTTTTTGTTTTGCTGTTCAACCAAATATACTGATAAGCCACTATCTAGTGGTCAGAAGTTAAAAGAGAACAATAAGAAGCTCTTTTCCTTGTGGTATGTCCGAATTTAAAGTTGAAAGCCCGGTAGGGAACTTAACAAAGCTTATACGGGGAATCTCCGCTCTCGGGGTCTAACCCCTTACCCTTTAGTCTAGGGGATACCATTTTTGACAGAAATGGTGCCTCTTTCGTACGCACTCTATTGATAAATGGTACCCCGTTCACATACCTAGATTGGAACTTTCCATCTTCTTTAACTGCTGTAAATTTAATGTCTTTAAAATATGAATTGATCACAAAACCAGAACGTTTTCTCGACTTTTTCACAGCCAAAAAATGCATCTGTTAGCCCTTTTGAGCTTTGTTACCGAAATGACAGATTTCACTACTTTTTCATACACTTCAACAAATGAAATCCCATCCCCCTAGTATACTTAAAGGCTGAAAAAGGTACCCTTTTCGGGTGGAGCCTCCAAATATAGGCCATTATAGGAAGTACTACCCCTCAGGATTAAAAGCTTCGTAAGATAGTCTAGGGAGCTTCGGCATCCACGAAGAAATGACGACGGCAGTAAAAAAGGTAACAGAAAAAATATATTTTTTCGGACTTAAAGGGGCTGTGTCTCGTCACTCCAGTTCATGTTGTTTAATTTTGCCAATTACTCGCCCTCAATCGCTATAGAACCTTTAATAAAGTAAGCAAAGAAATTACATGTAAATGACAAAATCAGATATCCAAGACAAACAAATGTCTCCTGAACATTATTTTTGAAGTTGCAAGCAGCAGGGATCAACTTTGAAAAACTGTTAGACTGAACAGTTTTCAAAAACCCTAATTTCAATCCGTTTCAATCTTCTTCAGTTTTGCCCATCCGTGGCATCTTTTGTTTCTGTTATGTTATTTTAACCTTCCTTTAAAGTTTTAAACGGTTATTTTTATGTTTCTCTTAATTTAACGGGCATTTTGCAATTTCCTAATTTAGCTGAATTTCGTGACACAGCCCCTTTAAGTGCGTATATTTATCCTCGCTCAATTTGTGAAATACAGCAGATTTATCCTGGAATTGAGTTCTTTTAAAATACTTTTTTATATAGGCCTAATAATAGGAAGATTTGATAGGCCATTTCACGATTGCCTCAAACCTCTTTTACAAAGCGACGAAAAGTTCGAAGCCAAAGAAAGGTTTTGCACTTTACTGCCTCGTTCTGAAAGTGAGAGTCTTTGGAACTCGGAAATGGCTCACTACGTCGTATAAAGTGCTGTGCACGTGCAGAGCTGTTGTTTCACTTATTTCGCCTGTTGGTTTTTGATTTTTTTGCTGCTGTTGTGGTGGTGGTTGCTTAAGCCCTCAAGCGGGCAACGCCCTTTATTATAATGTTATGAAAATAACCTTTGTGCAATTAAAGGCCTGTCTTATGTGATTGAATTATATGTCAAAATCTATAAGTTACAATATATATAAAAAAGAATTGTATTAACTTAAAACCTGATTCTTTTTGTTGCGAAAAAATCTGGATAGTAATGATGAACTTTGTTTCTTCGAGGAAAGACTCTCATGACTTGCTGACTACAAAACAAAGAAAGCACATTTGAAAATTCAACCCGTCATTATATCATTTTCATTTCATTGTAAATAGTTTTAAGTAATGATAATTCATAACAAATTGATTAGCAGATAAATATGTTACTTAAAATGTTGGAGTTAGTTTTGTGAAATTTCACTGAGGGGTAAGAGATGAAGGTAGGATCCCCTTCCGGGCGTTTATGTGTACTTTAACCCGGAAACTTCCCGTAAATAAAGTCTACAGCTTTCCTCTGAATCTACTAGAAGAGGTAACGACATTTATGTTTAATATTGAAGAAAGTACGAAAGATTTTGAAAAGTTCAGCTAACACTTTTGCAACATTCTTTAGAGAAAAGATGGCGCTTTCTCACCCATTCTTACCATATAACGTTGCGAAGCCACAGCCGAGTATAGAAATTCAGACGAAGCACTGTCACCGCTTGAGGACGAGAACCAGCCAGAAATATCGGGTTTGTACGTAGACGTTTTCATTCTATAAACACGTGTCCAAGGCAATAAACTCTTTCTATTCAAGTGACGTTTCACGTGCAAGTCTTCGTTGGAGGTCTCGAATGGCTGAGGTACCAAAACAGTGTACATCCCATCCATTTGTGAGCTAAGATCACTTTGCACAAAAGAACCACTTTGGCGATCTGGTAAGGCTAAGCTTTGAGCACCATGTCTGTATAAGGCATAGGGTTTTCGTATCAAGTGTTCCCTGTCTGTAGATCCATCACCTCTGAGCGTACCATGACTTGATTGACGTACTCGGGTGTTTTGAAACTCTCTTTCCATTGCCTTTCTTTCAAATCGTACTCGCTTTAAAACCTGATTCCCTGAGAATGGTCTCCTCTCTGTCTATCAACGCAAACACATTTGCAGGCGTTAGTCTTACTTTAGCAGCCACAGTTATCCCAGCTACTTGTATCCCTACAATAGCGTTTAACTGTGTCACGAGCAAATCCTGTTTCAGCAACCACCGCTTACCTGATAAAGGAAGTGTGCGCATGCCTCGTTTCCACTTTCTATGGCAACATTATATGGAGTTCTTCCCAGTCTATCGTGTAGTTTAATCGCTGCACCACTGTCAATATAAGAAAGCAAATATACAATTATGATAATTAGTCAATTATGCAAACTGTGATGTAAGACTCCTTTGCTCTATATGCTAATTTCATTTCACAAATTTAGTGATATCTCAAAGAGCTTCGAAAAGGTAGTGCTTGAACGTATAAATTATTTGAACTGGGAGGAGAAACAATGCACCTGCAAATGTGGAAAATAATAAGAACATATCTATGTTCAAAAAAAATGTATCAAAGTGAACAGGCTTACCCTTTAACAAGATGCTTCACAACCTCCAAATGACCATTTTGGGCAGCTAGGTGGAGTGGACTGGAACCGAGTTTATTTCTTTCATTGCCAACACAGTTGGAATTAGCCAGCAACCAATCCACGCAGGGAAGATGGCCGCAGGCTGCAGCTAAAATATGCAATAAAATAAATAATATTTAAATATATGAATTAATTAATGGTGTTAGTGCATTATCAAAGGAGCTCTTGGACTGCACAATATCCTGTATAGAACTTAAGTTTGTTGGTTCTTTGAGGAGAGGAAAAGTGAAGAAAAGAAAAAGTGAAAACAGTACTTGATACACTCACAACTTTTGGCTAACGGTGTGCCTATGACTTTCGTGAACTTTGTACGCAAAAATAAAGTATGTTATTAAGTTGGCCTAACAGACGGATGTGTTGGTAACCTGCAAAGTACAAGTCAAATATATTCAAGTCGGTATTTAACCGAATTTCGCCTTACATTTCTCTCCATTTTTATTTGTCAGATGCTTCTCAAGCGACTTGCTGTTTATGTTTGACAGCGTACATATGTAACCTGAGATCAGGCGTTATTTATTTATTTTGCTTCTTTGGCTCGAGAGGGAAAAAAATAACTGTCCTCCTCCCGAACCCAGATTACAGAGATAAAGGGAGAGGGCATGATCACAGGCTAGCGTACATGAGGAACTCCTGACATCACCTAATAAAGACCAGCAGTACGCGGTCGAAACATCGCGATAAACATTAGCCCTAAGTGAGAAGTAAGTGTTAATGTTGGCTTATGGGAGGGGTAGGTGGGAGAAACTTATAATGATCCGTTTGTTGTTGGGGACGGGTGACCGGGTGCAATCCCCTAATAACGTAATACAAAAGATTGAAAGGACACTGTAGAATACCCACACCCAAGTCACAACCAAACCAAAGATGGTTTCCGGTCCGCAACATCAAGAAACTCCCTTTTTTAGTGTTAATGTATTTTCATACCGTAATGCAAAGGTGTATTGGCAACTTTGTCTCGAGCCAGCGCTCTACAACCAGCAGAGCCCAACAAGAATACCAGGCAACTGAAGTGCCCTTGAAGGGCTGCCGCGTGGGCAGCGGTCGTACCATCAACCGACACCTCCCAATGTACTGTCCCAGAATACTTCGCAAGCCACTCTAAGCAGTTCAGGTGCCCTTCCTGAGCTACAAAGGAAACAAATTAACGTACGCAATCAGTATTCTATGAACTGTGTCATAGGCAGGAAGGGATGAGAATATTATATTTTTCTAAGTAGCAAATGTACTGTATTTTTTCAGAGTACAAAAATAAAGTGCAAACCTGCAAAATATAGTGGCGTCGCTCCATTGTTATCCTGATGAGAGATATAAATGTTATGGTTCCTTTTTTCCTTTGTTTTGGGGTATGGTAAGTGTACGATAATGAGTTTAAAACGTAGAAAAATGTAATTGGAACCAAGGACAAATTAAACCACAACATACATAGGTGATCAATGCTCGATTTCAACTTTGACTATATTAATATGCGCAGATACAAAAAGTGTTGGTTCTTTCTTGGTTGTGTCCTAATTGGAAGACGTGAAAAAGGGCGCTTTCCATTTAGTCAAAATTTCCGGAATTTCCGGTTCGGCGGTAAATGGAACACGTTTCGTCGGTTCGTCCCACTGGAAAATTCCCAGAAAAAGTGGAAAATCTAAAAAGGTGGTCCCGTTTTCCCGGTTGGAATTTCCGAACGGAATGTCGTGTTCCATTGACGTTTCTTGTAGTTTGTACCAGTTCCAGGTCCACGGTCGGGCACCCGGCCATGTACCGGGGTTTACGACCAAATGGAACAACTTTTTACAGATCGGAAATTCCACTTTTGCTACCACCGAAATTTCCGGGTTTTTTTCGTAAATGGAAAGCGCCCAAAGAATTTCAGATAGCAGTGAAAGCGAGTCCAACCTGCAAGCAAATTTTTGAGGGGTGGGGGTGGGGAGGGGAAATCCCTCTCTTTTTTCCCTCTGTCCTCCGAAAGCTTACCGGCAGGATGAAGCGAGTCGTTTTCATTTAACCGTAGGTCACAAAAGACTTGGGTAGACGACTTAATTTTAGTGTCATGAAGTAAAGAAAACAGAACTCAATGACAATCATACATGCAGCTCATGATCAGGTGCTTAAAGGGTGTGAGAGGATCAAAGTAAGCGGCTGCGGCACTATCAATCAAAGGTTTTAGCCTAAAAACATGAGTCATTCTTCAATTAAAGGATAAATTTAAAAAAATGCCGGCGCTGAGCAGTCTAGGGTCGTTGTGAATATCTCGTTAATTAAGGTAAAGGTGTATAGAACTGCTATAACGGATTTATTTGCTAATGTTAACTGAGATAGTTAATCGGAACTCTTGGCTAGTTCAAAGTCAGTTCTAAGACAACACACCGTTATGGAAATGCTTTTCGAAGCTTTTCTGTGAATCCATTTAAGGCATTCGAGATGACCACCAGCAGCCGCGTAATGAGCTGGTACCGAGCCTTCTGTTGACCTGAAGCAAATCCAGAAAGAAGGATAGATTAGGAATTTTGTACTTACCACAGCAGGCATAAGCTCAGTCGGTAGAGTGCTTGACTGCAGAGCGTAGTTTCGATTTCCGGGGCCGGACCACTAGTGCTCAGGGTCTTAAAAGTAACTGAGAAATAAAGGTACTCCCTTCGTGCCAAATACATTGACACTCAAAATGCTTATTTTTGCATGAGGGTGCTAGTGGGGTAGGCCTATAAATTTCCCTTGGTAAAAAGACAGAAAAAAACTTGTTAGTAATCATTTGTCGCTGTAGCATCCTTGACCAAAGGGCAACGCTCCTAAGATTATAACATTCCAACCACAATGACAACCTCAACTCGATATTAAGCCTGTTATATTTTCAGAATTCTCAATTGATCAGCTGGATGTCTCTCAAATAATTTTTGCTGATCGAAATCAACTTCAAGAGGGTATGAATGGGGGTACCTCGACACTTTTTTGGCTGTGTAACATGAAACAGTTAAATTGCAACACGAACAGTATAAAATACACTGTAACAGTAATTTTTTCCACGCCAAAAAAAGCCAAAAAACGGCTCCAAAAGGGCCAATATTATTTTCTTTTGTATATGGCAATGAGTTTTTGGCCATTTTTCGACAATTATCGATTATGACCGAAGATTTCCGATGACTGCCGTTGATGTCCGAAGACTGCGGAAGATTTCCGAGAAAAAAAACGAAAATTTCGTTATGTTCATATGTAAAAGATATATTTTTACGGTGAACAGATACGGTTTTGTCACCAAAAGCCTCCAAACATGGAACAGTATTTTCTCCGGAAATAGTAAACATTAAAAAAATTGACGAATCAAACATCATCAACACTAGAAATTATGGCTAAATAACGCTTAACACCAAACCCAATTCAGACCCTTGTGTAAGGATAAAGTTTTCAATTCCAAGTTCGACGATTTTCTCGTGTACTGATTGACTTCATTTAGGGACAAGTATTTCTGATACCGATATTAATGTTTATGTTAATGATCACAAAATGTAAATGCGACGAGCTTTTGTTTTGTAACGTGGTAAACAAGCTTTTTCATGCGTAGTCCAGATGATATTGTACAATTTGTCTGAGGTGGCTGCAAACATAATAAATCAGTCTGAATTTCGAATTCTTTCAAACGTAAATCTGATTACAGAAGCCAACAGTAGTATTAACTATATCAATAAAAACTGTGAAAAATATCTAACCTTACAGTTAAAGAACTTCCGTGCTTGTACAGCCACTTGACACATAATAGATAACCACGGAATGTTGCATGATGAATATGGCATAAACCTTGTTGATCCAAATAATTTGGAGAGTACCTACCAGCAGCTAATAAACCTTTTAAGCGCTGTAAATGTTGTGCATCCCTTGTTCCCGCCATGTATTTAAAATGTTAAACATGCTTTTGGCGCTACGAAAAACATTTTCAAAACACGATGTTGAAGTTGTGAGTCTTTCTAGCCCTCTATTTATAAGTTGTTGATCCAAAAGTTTTTTAAATCACGGTGCGTAGTTTTTGATTCAATAGCGATATTATTCCAGACGAATATTTTAGAAAGTTTCTCGAAATGAAGATATTTAAACTTTTTAAATTTTTACAAGTTTCCTCAGTCCCCTGCGGTCCTTTGTAGTCGTAAGACAATTATCGTGAAATCTGTTTTGAATGTGCATAGCGGAGCAGCTGGTAAAAACGCTCTATTATCGGATAGCACAAAACGTAAAATTGTCATTTTTTCTGTTAGATTTCATGTTCGATATCTGTGAACCTTTATCACAACAAATAATTAATTATTCAAAGTGATCGATATACCTATGCTATTGTTTCTTACGCTCTTGTCCCAAATATTTACACATTCTTGTGCCCACACGTCTTATGCGTGTAAAATAGCCCGAAACCAGGTGATAGATAAGTAAGAATGCTATTTGTTCACGTTGGAAAAGCCTCATGTATTTATACTGAAATTCATTTAGGATATAATGGTTTGATTGGGCGGCGTTAGTGGTGACGTTGAAATCTCCTGACGATAGATGCAGGCAAAGTTCTAGTGGATCTACGTTTGTCTTGAATCCTTTTGGTTCTGTTTCGGAAGGATAATTTTGGATGAAAATAGTTCACCATAAATGCAATTCTGATTTTTTTTTCAACTTACTAATTTAGTTGCGTGTTTGTCTTGTTTTCGTTTTTTCTTCAATCTTTGCTGTTTATGGTCTTCCTCCTGTTTGTTGCACTGTTTTAACGAAACTCGAATAAAGCGATCATATATGAATAAAAATAGTGGTTCTGGTTTCTTTCTAGAGAAGTTTTACTTAACCTGTGAAATAGAATGTACACCATCATGCCCTATTATAGACTAATACCATTATCTTATTTTGTTATTTATTTGTAGCTATTTGGCATTAGGTTTTAATAAGTATCTGTTTACCCAGATGTCAGAGGGTTCAATTCGTATACATGTATTTAATTTCTAATCGTTCGCGACGAAGAGGAGCGTCTTGGGAGCTTTATCAAACCGCGTGCACTGTTTACTACATCCTAGGTATTTCGAGAGCGGTCCTCTCTGGAGCCTGACAGGTTAAGTGAACTCACTCAAAAAAGGAAATACAGTCAGCACGGAGCACCATTTTGTGGAAAGCGGATGAAATTGATGGAATTATTCGTCAAAGAATGGGCTATGTAGGGAGCTGTTTCTTGTAGTCATAGGTGAGTGGTTTGCTGGTTTTAACGTTTTGAGGTCATTTCTATATGATATGGTCTATGAGTTAGCGATAGTGATACCATCTCGAATTCTGGGATCTCATGATTGGCTAACGGACTCATTCTCGAGTGCGTAATAACGTAGCGTTCAGGATCAAATATAGAATCATATGACTTTAAATGTTTAAACTACACTCCCTCCGTTTATCTTAGAGGTTTCATCCGAATACACCAAACCGCAGTCTGAGATCAAACTCAAAAACTATTTAATTAGCACATGAGCAATACAACCTTAAAAGTTATGGTCTTAATGAGCTTTCTCAGTTGCCGCACCCATTCTCTGGAATGCAGTGCGAGATAAGCTCAGAGACCATTTGATTAAAAATCAGACTATTTTCCTTTACTAAGGTCCAATGTTCAGCTCGGTGTTGCGCGCCTAGTTGACCATTACATTGTAGAAAACTTGATCTCGTAGGGAGGCTTGGGGGAAGAAGGCCCGTAAAATATCAGGGATGGGAGGGCGGGAGAGAAATAGAGGAACAATGGCAAATTGTTTTGTATTTGTTTTGTTTTATAAACAACATTGAATTTTCAGGCAAATTTTTTTTTATCATATGACGTCAACAAATGTCAAACTAAGAAACCATCGCTTCTTCTGAGTTTCTACTTCCATGTGGTATTACAGCACCTTAAAAGTTTTAAACAAACAAATTCTCGGTTTAAAAGGGTTCTTTGTTTTGCTATACTGGACGGTTGAATTTCTAGGCTTTTGCGTGACGCGGCATCGGAAAGCTCTTATGTGGGTTAAAAACATAACCGATTTTGAGAGATTTTGCCATCTAAACATTCCTTGTCTCAGAATAAATATTACTTTAATCTTTATGAGTTCCTCAAGCGAAGAATTCACTCATCAGTCGGAAAACTCAAAAACAGATATTCTGTTGGTTTCCGGCGGCCATATTTGTGCCCCTGAAAGGGACACACTCATGGCGTCTCCATACAATGCTTTATATTCTAGACTGTCTGTAAACGTTGTGTGTAATAGAGCGGGAATCAGCTCAAACCTAATCTCCCCATTTTTGCAAACTGATTGACTTGAACATGTTTTTTCAAGATGAAAGTCCTTTTTCCTTCAAAGAGAGCTTCTTCCTTTTTAACTATTGTCCTCTCTCCGTAGATTCCATTTCTCGGTCTTCCGCTTGGCGTACATATTCATATTTATTTTATTTTAGGTTATTTGCCAATGCTCTTAAACGTACCAAACATCTTGGCAAAATTTAGGACTGTACTGTGATCTTTCTAACCAATATAAGGAGAACCAACCTTAACTCCTCTTTTGGCAGGTGTTGATTTAATAGTTTAATTTGACGTTAGTGAATCACTTTCAATTATTTCGAAATAGTGAGCTGATTACGGTATTTCTTCTTAGTTTAGCAGGCGCGGACCCAGCTAGCTTCAGTGCACGTGCCGAATTATAATATTTTAGAATCCTGAGTTAAGAGATGTCACTTTCAACAACGGCGTCTAGTTTTCCGATGGGTCCGCGCCCTTGTGAATTGTGCTCACTTCCATTTTTAAAATACCCTGGGTACCAGAGGTTTTTCTCGCGTGCGGCGGGAATTTTCGGTGTTGGCCGAAGGCCAACACATCTTCGGCCGTAGGCCGAAGCCACGAGCGGCGAAGCCGCGAGAAAAACTATAAAGACTTGACAGAAACAGGAAACCGCGCGAGAAAAGTCTCTGGCACCCAGGGTATTTTTAAAAAGATTTATATCTAAAAACGAACGTCTTATTTCTTATAAAAGAGGCGTTACTTAAAGATACCTATTGTAAAATTATAAGGAAATTGTATTTTTTCTGTCACAATTTGTAACCACCCTTTCAAATCAGTTAGTGGCATCGCCCTTAGTAATGCATTATGCTTCTAGTACTTCTCACTAAATTTTAAGCCCAGCCGATAAGCTTGAATATAACACCTACTGATCAGATCCGGCCAGGTCTGCGTTGAATCGGCAATGGTATTCACTATATTAGAAACACTTTAAATTTCCCTTTGTACAATATGCGTGGTGGCAAATTTCTAGCGCTTCCGTATTGTTTTATCAGAAAATTTTAGAATTACGTTTTACGACAATTTGTACCACGAAATCAATTTTTCCCATTTACTTGCTGTTTTCACACACACACACCCCACCCCTCACTGTATTAATGTTGATGATAGATTTTTAATTAACGCAATAACATCTTGCCTTGTCTTTTGAGAAAAATTTCCAATAAAATTATATTTGCGACAAGACCAAAAGCATGCGCCGAGATAGTTACACTAGCGGGTTATTTAAACCTTCACGATTATCTTTCCGCACAATTCAGTAGATACTTATTAGATAGAACCTTTATTTGAGAGTCAAACTATTAAGCCCAGATAGGACTAATTGGGGACACTAAATAAACTATACTATTAAAATTCTAAAAAAGGAAACAAAGTTACTATGTCAGTCTTAAAATACTTAAGAAAAATTCAAGTTAATCTTTGAATTAAGCCCACACTACTAGAATACAACAAAAGTAAATATTTACAATACTAAAACACTGAACTATATAAAAGATGTTATCTATTCACTGGAAAGCTATTTAAAATGTAATCTAAGAAACTAAGTTGTCAAATTTTGTTCCTAGACTAAAACAAGCTAAGCTGTGAGATTCTCGTAGGTTCTCGTAGCAGGGTCCTATATATCTTATAGTATGCTAACCATATCTTGTGGTATCGAAACGTGGTATAATAAAATCATTATTTCGATGCGAGTGCTCAGAAGCGTTACGAACGAACAAGTTGGAAAACATTAGATTGTATCACGCGCAACTGAGTCCTTTCTTGACTTTATACATTAGCACTACGATGGCTTGTAGTCGTCCATTGTACAGAGTAGGGAGACGGGCGCGTTGTAAAAGCATTCTAAATGCAGTCGTCGTACTTTATGCAAGAGCTTTAAATAATAACTGACTTCTGTTTTGAAGTGTTACCCCCGTCCTCAAACTGGTATTTCTAGCAAGTTTAAAGAAGTTAGTAGGCGAGGTATATTTTAGTAACGTTAAACAAGAATAACAACGTTTTCATTTCGTTGACGTGAAAATAATGAAATAAAAGCCTGTTTGATCTCCGGAATTCTTACAGAGTATAGAATGGGATTTACGAAAGAGTTTACACCAGCCAAAATAAACGAGAAACATAAATAAGATAATGAGGAAAGGATATTCTTGGAACCAATGGCGACAACAAAAATATATAGAAGAAATGGTATCAACAATATTAAAGATACAATAGTCATTATTAACAATGTCACTGTCAGTTTTCTTTGTCTATTCACTGCTCCATGGTGCTGGGGATATGCTCCACACACAAATTTAATTGAAATACAAGCGTACGAAACACAGATAACAAACAGACAAAAACAGTAGTATATTGGCCAGAGGATGAATAAGTTGTCTGTTAAATCATAAAAACTGATAAACATCGCGGCACTCAATATCATCACAGGTAAAACCCATACAGTAGCAATTATTACCCCATAAACCCATTTTTTGATGACGCGATGCTTGAATGGGCGAAATGCTGCGTGCGTGCGCTCTAAAGAGATCACAGCAATGTTTGTAAGGGAGACGAGAGGAAGAAAAGGCATGGTAATACTGAACAAAGTTTCTATTTTCCCATCAAGGGGTACTCTCCTTAAGAGGTCACATGTATCTTGCATAAAAACTAATGGAGAAGGACTTTGGGAAAGCAGACCAACCAACATATCAGCCACTGTCAAGCTTATAACCAAGTACATGGCTCGAGTGCGAAGATTCCTGTTCTTTATAAAAACAATAATTGTAAGGAGGTTGACTGATACGATAATTAATGACTCCGTCACGAATACAGCAAGCAAGGTAATACACTTGGTTGAAGAAAACATCTTGAATTCTGTTTTTCTCTCCCTTTTCTTCTTTTTTTGTTGCTTGTGAATACCTGTTAAAAGTATATTAACTTTTGATTAGATGGGTATGCAGATCTAAGTGCTAGGAACGAAATGCTAACTTGATAACACTTGGTTTCATAAGCCGTATTACGAGCACAACGGACAAATATTATTTGTCCCTTCAGTTACGGATGGTATCGGGGATAATAAAGGAGCAGAGATAAAATAAGAGTGTTATACAAGACACCTAGTAATATATACTAGATATGTAAAGAGAGCACGTCTGTTATTCTGACATTTCATTCATTCATTTCAAGTTCCCTGGACCCTATTTGATACAATAATAAATTGAAACATTGATTTGATAAGGACAAAATTGAGTAGATTTAATTAGTATGTAATGCCGTGTTTTTTACTCTGTCAATAAAATATTTTTGAAACAAGAAGCGGGCCGCAGATGTTTTGTCGTTAATTTAGTTATGTATTTTGTAGCAATTTCTTTGAAAAACGGTTGTTTTCATATCATTGGTGGATTTCTTGGATATCATATCCTGCCAAGTAAGTTTATTGAACTTTCTTTAAAGCATAAACTGGAAGACGTTTGCGATACCTGGTAAAATGACATCAATGGTACATCGGCAAGTGGCAACAACTGAGAAGCCCTAGCCGTTGCCTTAGCTTTGGTGAAGGAGAAAATGGCGGAAAAGTCCACACCTTTGTGAAGTTTTGAAAACATTGCAAGAACAGCAACAACACATTCATCAACGAATGACAACTGCCATTTGCTGAAGAAAAAAATCCATTTATATCCTGAATTTGCCGAGAAGGAATAGACAAATGAAGATAGTAAGATAGACTCTGTTCATTTGAAATGATTATTAAAACAATAATTTATTGCATTAAAATAATCTTAAGGATTTTACAGATCTCGGCCGACTCTCCAGGATATGCATCCTGATTTTTCAGTACAAATTTTTACCACTTAGGCAAGTGTTCATAGTTATTCGTGTACATACATAGGAAACAAATCCCTATGCAAGAGTGGATTTGTATGAAATGTCCACAAACAGTTCTCCATTGGTCTCCATTCTAAACATGCATGAGCTTGTTGAGACAGTGCCAGGACCGTAGATTTTGAATTTCCCACACTGACACGAGTCCAATGAACACTTTCCTTGTATCACATGTATTTATCGTGAATTTAATAAGTACAGGATGGATTGATCTTAAGGGAAACTCCATATAAATATCTGCTTACATGTCGTCTAATTTCTTGAAACAATCTTCTTCTGCCAATGGAACAAATGTTTTATTTCTGTGAATATGTCACCTCTCTCTGACGTCTTTGAAAGAGTGATATATTTTGACATGAGTAACCTCTTAAATTTTCCCTAACAGCGAAAGGAATTAAGTGTTCCCGGCATTGCAACCATGTCACGCACTAATATTCTGAGGATATCCGAAATGCAGATGTTCTTTTCGAATAATAGGAACGAAAATATAGGAGGCCAGCAATCACAATTTTTTGTCATGTTTGACTTAAAAGACACAGCTGTGTTTATATATTTTCCTTGTGAAGGAAATTGAATGAAAATTGTAAGCTTAAACGAAAAATTTTGCTCAGTAAGGATTTTTTTCACAAATGTAACGTTTCCATCATGTCACATATTATCGGTGTTCTAAACTGTTCATTGTAAAATAAAGGTTAGGAACGGAACATTTGAAAACTTATGGGTGGCGGGGGCGGGGGGCGTTTTAAGGACAAAAAAAATATTCCCGCAAGGGAAAATGAAATGAATAAAAATTCATGCACGCCAATTAACCCTAAAAAGTTCATGCTACGGCCTAAGAAAAATTCACACAAGGAATCTGATAACGACCCACCCTCCCCCCCTATAACTTTTCTAATGGTCCATCCCTGATCGGCTGTCCTCAGTCCGTTGGAAAGATACTCCTCATGTCGATTTTACAGATGGTGTACAGGGTGTCCCAAAAGTTCGTTCCTCTACTTTATAAGTTTGTATTTCAGTACGATTGGACTTGGTAAGCAAATCATTGAAACAAAATTTGTCTTTCAATCTAATTCACCATTTTCATACTTGTTGTGCCAATTTTTTGACTCGAATATTCGATTTGTGCACTTCCGCGCCATAGGTGCACGTGCGCGAGTATATTTTTCAGCCACATATTTTTCGTATTCTATAGCCCGAATTGCTCGAACTCCTCCCTTGTTTTTTGTGAATATCACGAAAGATATATCCCCTTAACGCAAAAACGGTCAGCTATTTTAAAGGAAAAGGGCACATATATTTCGATTCACTGGCTTATCTGTAGTAGAAACTGCTAAAAAACTGGAAAAATCCGAATGTTGGATGATAAAATGATCATGGAGGAATGAAGGTTTTGAAGGCAAGAAATGAAGGGGAAGACCAAAACTCCCGCATAAAGTAGCTAAACAGTTTTAAAGGAGGCTAGATATAAAAAAGGAGACTCAACGCGAAAGCTCTCACATTAGTTAACAAGCCAAGTCCAGAAAGGGTCATGAAAAGCTGTTTAAAATGTTTAAAATTAGAGGCTCCTGAGTTGGTTAAAAAAAACCTCTGCTTAGTATGCCAAGTAACGCCCAGCTCGTCTCAAATTTGTAGAGAAGTACAAAATCTTGCTGTGGAAGGAGGCCGGGACGATTATCGTTTTGGATGAATGCCCCAAATATATTTTTTTCCAGCTGCCTAAACTAAACAAATATTGTTTGGGGGTTGAGCTGGCCCTTGCGCACCAGCCGTGATAGAAAAGCTCAAAATGGATCATCTGTGGGTCTACAAGCTGTATCCCACTTCATGCAGCAACGGCTACAGAATGTGATAAAAAAAAAAAAAAAACAAACAAAAAGGGCATGCCAGTAACTGAAATTCTGAATACATGTACTCAGTAGAGAAATAAACATCTTCCAGCATTTCATGTAAAAATGAAGTTTTGATCAAAAGTTATGGTGCTTGAATTTAGAGGAACGAACTTTTAGGACACCCTGTATAATTCTTGCTGACTATCGTTGCATCGAAGAAGATAATTTTGACTGTAAACTTGCCTCTCTTCGGTTTCGTTGCGAATTCTATTGACCACATTTTGCAGAAATTTCGGCAGGCGGTGTTCCCTCACTTCGTCGGCTTCGTTTGCATCGGTAATTGGAGTATTTTGTCGCTGCCTCTTTACATATTTGTGGTCGCTGTATAGCCTCTTCTGTCTCTAGTTGACACGATGTTCTACTAGTTTTATTATTTTAGCTAGGCGCGTTCGAAGTTAAAATACTGAAATTTCTATTTTTCTGTTGCCTTAATATTTTTCTTGGCAATTTTCCCGATTTTCAGTACATAAATCTTTAAAAACAAAAGCAAACAGCCAACGAGCGAGGACACCAGTTTTCCTGGTTTATTTTTTACAAAAAGCGAAGGCAAACAACCAGTCTGTTACCTTAAGCCACCAGTAATAATGCCTACACTGAAAATTCCTTGAACAGCGATGCGATATTTTTCGTCTAATACTTCACAGTTGGCGATTGAGGTTTCTTTCGCAGTGAGCCTCCGGTTGCGTACCCTGTTCAGAGAAGTCACCCCCGGCTAAACTTTCAAATGAAACCAGTTTAAAGATGGACAGTATTTAGATTTGCACTCGTTTGTTGGTAAATCAAAAGGCACCTTGTTAGCGGTCAACAACTTGCAGAGGGATTCAACTCCGCGATACACTCACATTAGTTCCGTGAATAAAGCAAATTTTGACAAGATATGAACCACCATATGAATTTTCTGAATTTCCATGGCCAAAATCTGGCCGTAATGAGCACAAACGTGAGAGAGTTTGTATCAGGCCCAATTTTAGCGCTAGCCGTTAGAGAGAATGTATGAGAACCGCTTAAATTGGGCCCGATCTCAGGTTATGGTCAGCCATGGCAAAGCCTCTAGCCGAAATCAGCAAATGCAGGCTGTTTGAGCAAACTTACCTACAACGGCAAACCAGTTATCTGCAACTTCTGTTCTCATTCAGCAAAAACCAGCATAGCGACTACAAACAAAACGATATGGCAAGCTTTGCAGAAGCGTTGATGTACAAGGACCCGACGAAGTCGGAAAGGAATCTTTTTTCTGTGAGTGTAGATTTTCTTTCAGAACATTACGCGAACACACGTGTGGCAGTTTTGATTAGACGTGTGACATGTAAAAGTTTGTTTTCTTTTTGGGAACAAAAAAACTTTTAAGCTGCGAAATTTACCTTCGAAGACTTCGACCTTGTTTCTTTCACGGCGGAGCGCTTGTTTATTTTTCTGAACTGCGATCAAGTCAGCAGCCATTGTGCTCAAGGAAAGTACGTTATTGAAAGGAAATTTATGTATTTACATGTATAAATGTTTCATAGACGTTTTATATATTTTTGATAGAGTTTTCAAGAAAAATTGGGAAATGCGCCCGATCTGAGACAGATGAATAAATTCTATTGTTAACTTTTGCTATGTTCTCAGCTGATTTTACTTGTGGGAAAGGATCCACGATCCAGTCAGGGTTACGTCAATTGCTTTTAACGGTAAACTTATGAGTTTTCGAATAAAAATTTTCAAGAAACAATTTGTCTGTTAGTTGAAAACATGATCGCCGGCATCTTGTCTGATAAATATATCTCGCGTTTCATTCTTATTAAGCGCATCACTTCTATGAGGGTATATCTAGCTATGACAAAATTCAATAACCTAAAAGTGAAAAGGGTTAAGTCAAATCTGAAATATACCGAGTCAAAGTTGGTAAGAAATACTAAAAAAGCCACTATCATATAGGTATAACGCAGAAAAAGGCATCACGCTAAAAGGCAACACGCAAAGAGGCATCAGGCAAAGAACCAACACGTAAAAAGGCATCACGCAAAGAGGCATAACGGAAAGAGGCAACACGCAAAAAGGCATCACGCAAAGAGGCAACACGCAAAGAGGCATCAAGCGAAGAGCCAACACGCAA